TATAAATCGAAAGAAAGGAGACTGCGACCATACCAGAAGCCACACCATCTTGTTCTTCATATCTTCTCTTTTGTTAGTTTTGACCTGAAGCGATTCCTGTACATCCGCCACAACAGAAGACGACACCGGCTTGCCCGAGGTTTGATGTCGTTTCGTTTTGGTTGAAAGTTCCCTTCGACGTTGCTGAAGCTTTTTGGAGGACGGCGTCGACCAAACGACAACTGACCTCTTATGGCCCACCGTCGTCATCGGGTCACTTCATTATCCACCAACCTCGTCATAGCAACCTTTCGCACGAAATCACAGCCAATGGAAGAAGAAGACACCGAGAAGCTGTTCGAGCCCAACCCGTTTTCCTTCATTTTTGGAGTCGGACAAGAAGAGGCCACTGTTGGTCGGGACTCGAATGTTAATCTGCGTCCGAAGACCGAAACCCTTACAATACGCTCGGACTGGCCACACGGACGATGTCAAAATCGTGCACATTCTTGCCTACTTCCGAGGGTCACTTCAGAAAGAGTGGCAGAATTGTCTCCTTCTTACAAAAGCGGGACTCGACTGTCGAGTTCGAAGGAAAAGTTGGTTGGAAGGCATTCGTCAATTGGTCTCATTGAAAGTCGAAGGAAGCTTGACTGTCGGATTGTGAGAAGAATAATTCTTGCAATTTCGACAAATCTGTTCTGATCCTTAGTCTATCCCTCTGTCTCCGGCATATTCACAAAGAATGAATTACGAAAAACACACTCAACCATATAGACAGTCTACCGAAAACATACCAATTGTCTTGTCATACTTTTTCGTTATGAATTAACTTCTCGAGTCTACCAATAGATCGTATCTGTAGACTGTGTTCACCTTATTTTGATTAAAAATTCAGATGACTCGTAGTTGAATTTTTCACATAATCATATGAGTAGGTCTTACGCTTCATGTGAATATCACATAACCTTGTCTTCCCAAAAGGTTTTCTCATCCCAACTGTGGTGGACTGCAGTTCCAACCGCGCTCGAACAGATCTTATCTGCACCCTCAGCGAGACTTGATCCCGTTTTGGGATTGTGCAGCCCATACTCTCGACACGTCAACCATTCTTCCACGAGTGTCCTTAGGCCATTCGGTAGATGTGACTTTCAGGGACGATCATCCTTTTTTTATCATATCAAATCCTTTGGTGGGATTGTCGATGAAGCAAGGATGCATATGCTATAGAAGTCGACGACTTTACTCATTTTTAAGTAGGTTTTCAACACCACAAGTAGATCTCTATTTATGAACTGTATTCGTTTAAGGTGAGGAAGGCCTAATCACATGATTATGGGAACATTTACTTACCAGTCCTTCATCCTCTCAAACGAAATAGAGTGGATAAACCACATAAATAATTAATTTTGCCATTTTAATGAGGCATTGTCTGATTCTTGCCGAGGAATAAGGTAGACTCAGGAAAAAGCAAGTCCATGTGGTATGACAAATAGACTTGAGCTTGGTCCCGTAATGATGATACTTACTTGAGTATGCATGCATGTATGCATACATACATACACATATGAGGCTAACGTGGGAATTATAAGATTGAGAAGACCGTAGAACCAGAAAATCTCTAGATTGAAGGATAGATTACTACCGAAAGTTGTTCACTAGCATTAATAGAAAATTACATTTCAATACTCTTAAGGTGAGTGAATGCAGATTTTGACAAGTTCAGAGGACCCATGAACGCCGGTTTTATGCTTAATTCCTTTTCCTATCGTGCAAGTGGCATTAAAATAGTTATCATTAACTCGATGCTAATAACGAGTCCTTTTGTTGTGGATGTAAACCCAATTTAGGGTTTTATCGAGGCCTCCCACGCTTTACTTAGTCCAACATGAATTCATCGGAATGACAGGACGGTGAATCGAGATCTTCTTGGTACAATCCAGCAGTCTTAACTTGGCGCCAGCAAATTCTCCCTCGGTTTTGGGTTTGGCGAATTCACGCATTCCATTGAAAGGAAAATTCCAGTCACACCAACTCATTAAGGGATTCTCAATAACCCACCGTTTTTTCTATACCTTCACACAAAAGCCGGCGTCGTTTTGGAACCGCGTTGTTACTCGAATCGCAGAAGGTTTTCTCGAGGATACTTTTCGACAGACGATGGCTGCCTTCGATACACTCACTCATACACACACATACATGCGACTTTTCATATGCATTTCATAGATGACCCGGCGAAATATGTACAACTGTACATTCTGTTGGCATGTGAAAGGCATTCGTAGGTTGGTATGATCGGAAGTTGAAAGAGTTGTGCTTTCGTTTGTCACATGCAAGAACCATCAGTTTGGGCATAAAATGCACATACACCCTTACCCAAAAAGGTGGCCAGCTGAGGTCACAACTCCAAGGGGGCGGCATCCTGTAGAATGGGAAATGTACCAAACACTCCCACACGTTTGTTCACATGAATTGAAACGTAGGTCCGAATCTCATCTTTTCTGGATATCAGCTCAACAGTCGTACAACAGAGTCCAGCTGACGAGTCCGTCAGGATAGATAGAGAGAGAGAGAGAGCTTCTTAGCTTGTCGTCATAGGAAGCTATGAAGTCATCGTCAACCGGAATGTTCCGGTAGTGCTGGTGGGCTGAACTATCGAGACTTTTCATGGCTCCATCTGACCCCAACTGGAAGTGAGCCCAACAATTGTAGCCCAAAATCCGTATCGAAGCCCCACTTTTCTCGACATTCCTCGGCCCACACCAGTCAGTGCTCGTACACACATGTGCCAGACTGTGCCGTTAGATATGGCCTCTTTCAATATGTGTGTGAGTGTGTGTGGGTGTGTTTTACGGTTTATGTCCGATTGGCAGTGTGTGCGTGGTCTTGTGTGTCGCGAGAGTTGAGCAAGTGTGCCGGTCGGTGGTGCCTTTGAAGACCCCATCCAAGCGCAATGAGGTAAGTGGAGAGCCGATAGGCGAGTCGACAAGACAGGACAGGACAGGAGAGGACGAACGGAGCAGAGCCAAACGAAGCGGGGCTTAGGCGAGGTCAACGGAGGGGGCAACAAATGAAGGATGAGCTGGTTTCGATAAGCCTTTGGCGTATCTGTGCACGTTTCTCTGGTCGTCTGCGTGCCTTCATACCCTAGACACACGAGAGGTACATCATCATGCCAGCTTGTCTCTATCGCATCAAGTGGCCT